AATCCAACACAGTAACCATTTAGTGCTTTATTATTCCCTGGATTACATGACTGACACACTGACTTTTCACAGTCACTTTCACAGTTTCACAATTTAATTAATATCATATTAGTAATTTAGACATTTCTAACCCCTCACTCTGCTCCAGCTCTACCGCCTTATCTGAATATAACTTACAACTCTTAAAATGTTTATATTATATAAAGTGCCAAATAACAATTTATATTAAGACTCTTTTAAGACTTTTGTAATGTGTTTTACACAGACAGAGGCAAAGAAAAACTGCCCTCAACAGGCAGAAACCTCAATCTGAACTGGACTTCAAAGTGGATAACATCTGCCTCTACATGTGTTTGATGACTTGCTACCAAAGCTGCCCATCAACAAGTATAGTCTCCCCTCTCGCTCTGACAAACAAGAAGGCAAAAACAAATAAATGCCAAACTCAGGGCTTTTAAATGGTAGACCCCAAACAAATTGGGGACGTCACAACACTACCTCCATTTCTTATACAAGTCTATGTTAGAACCACTTACCAGGAAGTGAAGTCCCCAGAGCCACAAAGACCACAGCAGTGACAGTGTCTCTCAGGCCTACGGTGCAGCCGAAATGAGAGGCCAGGTCTCCAATAACGGCTGTTAAGATACCAATGACAGAGATCGACACTATAAAGCACGCCCAGCCGTTCCAGTACTCTGTTGGCGGGACGAAAGCAAATAGAATCTTCCAGAAAATGCACAATATGTGCATGAAATAGTCGAAGCAGTTCGGCATCCGCTGCTCCTCATCTCCATCACCTGTTTAGAGAAGACACAGTGGTGATGCAGTCACGCTGTCAGGTACGAGCTTATCACCTCAAATTAGGCTGCAAACAAGAAAGTTGTAACAAGGCGCCTTCATATAATCAATAGTTATGGACATAGTGTGCAGATAAATTATCATCAAGTACTCAATGATTGGATTGACTTCATATTTATTCTTTTTTACTCTTCCTATAAATTATGAAAGTCTTCATTTTTTCCAGCATTAGGGACAGTGGAAAGTCTTATTGCACACGGTTTACTTAACACATGACCAAAAGATCAAAGCTTATGTTGAGATGGTGGAGAATAATACAACCAGGACAAATTGTGCTGTTATAAATGATGTAAGTGATGATTTGAACGTATCGCTCTCAGGTGAAAGCTCATGTAATGAAAGCTTTTTATATTGTACAGGCACGAGAGTTCTGTTTGTCTTCTCGTTGAACTGTGCGAGAGTAGGCTCACAAGGAAATCTCCAAAAATATCTTTGAACTTGTTGTGTATGTTAATATTCAACAGACATACTTGAGAGTAGTATCAATCCACTAATCAGACAGATGAAGGTAAATGAATGCTGAAACTGGTCGGTTTGAGAAATGGTAAACATTTACAAATAACATGAGGAAATCACGTATTGTCCCAGATTAGTTAACTAACAGAAGAATGAAATCCTTCCAGTTGTAACACTTAATTATGGACATCTATTCCACCAGGAAACATTCCTTTAATTTACAATCTTGACCTGAGTAAATGGAAAATATAACGCACATTAGAAAACCCTGACTGAAATAAAAGCTCAGAATGGATTTGAAGCTGAAGTTCAGTAAAGTGATACACAACACTTTTTCTTAATTTTACACAATATTTAAATTAAGAGTAACTCAAAATGATACATAGAGTTTAAACTATTCACTGACCTGAACTGACTGAGAGGGCTTCCATGAACTGTTCTCTCCATGAGTGAGTGCCGAGCACCTCAGCCAGATTTGTGTCCTTCAACAGTTTGTCGACTGTGTTCTGAAATCAAACATTGACACAGGTTCATCATATGTATAATACGACATGTTTTCTATTTGTTACCCCTGTATAAACAGGGCTTTAAAGAGAACTGTTATGTACAGGGCAATGTTGATCTAGAATAAACTGCCACTAAACTTACCCCAGATCACCAACAAGATGAGTTTTAAACAAGGATTAAGGAACGCAGTTTAAAAAAAAAGAAATCAGTTTGGTCTGCATGTAACATGTATATGAATGTGTATATTTATATATTTTATATATGTGTTCATGACATTATGAATGTATGAAATGTATCAGTCCTTGGTTTGTCTGTGATTGTATTTTATTTTCTTCGCTAATGTTGTGAATTAGATTTATCATGTTTTTGTGTTGTCTTGTTTTGTTTGTATGGACCTCAGGAAGAATAATTGTGACTGCGGTAACAACTAAAGGGGATCCAATGTAAATAAATAAATAATGATCAAATTATCCCTAAGGGATACTTTGAAGGGGATTTTCTTTGTGTCACGATACTGTGGCCCTCGACAAATTAAAGATGGGGAAATGAAATAATACATGTGTGATAAAAATCTTTATCCTTTCATTTGCATTTTGATATAAACTAGACACAGTGTGACACACTTTATGGCACATATATGAAGAACAGCAACAAAGCAACATGCTTTACTTTTTAACCGAGTTTGAATAAAGTGAAAAAACCTTCCACACACAGCACACATGGATGGATGTACACTAACTGCTTCAGTTCAAATCAATGCATGAGAAATGTTCATAATAGAAAAGGAGAAGGTGGGAGTTTTCAGCAGTTTTCCATCAATGGTAAATAAAAGAGAAAGTGAGATGGGAAAGGTCTTTCAGGTCACAACACACAGCATGCTGACAGAAACTGTACCTGGTCCAATACTCCATTTAGAGTCTGATGTGTAAGAAGGTGCAAGGTGGTTAAAAAGACAAGTATACTCTCCAGACATAAAACATTGTTTTTGTGTGTCTCGAACGACTATCACCCCTGAAATGCATACATGTTAAAGCTTTTAAAGAAATGCCACCTTAATACCAGTTTGTTTGTCCAGTAAAAGAAATGTTCAATATTGAAATGGTCAGTTGTTACAGCATGTTTCAGGTGTTACAGGTTGCATATCTTCATATTTCTTCTCAGATGTGTGGGATATCAATAAAAAGGTCTGCTTCATATTACCTGAACCTAAACTGAATCAAACCTGTTGTCTGTACCGTCACTGATCTATTGGACAGAGGACAGAGTGGACTTATTAGTCTGATATCTTCAATCAGCCTTACACACCTTGAACTCACAGGACTCCTCTATGATGACCTCCAGTCTGCTGTGTTCTCCTAAAATAGGTTTTCCCATCTCGGAGATCCTGCGTGCGTCCTCCTCCTCAGGGGTGGGGTTACCTGTCAGGGAAAACAGACATTTAATTAATGAAAAAATATATATACATATATAAGGTGTTGTATAAAATATGTGTATCTTATGACCAGGCATGAGAGAAAAAAAGACAAGAGACGGACTTTGCAATACTTACAGAAATAAGTTTAAAACCATTTCAAATAAATGAAAAAATTGTTTAACTGGCACTTATACAAAAGGTTCATTTGAACCCTATTATCAAAATAAATTGTCACTTTTTCTCCAAATGCAAAAGAAGACAAAAATGATAACGTCCTTGTTCTTTTCTAGTACTCTGCTGAATACTCTTAAATATTACTCTTAAGTATTGCTTTGTTTTGGGTGTGTGTGTTTTTTTTGTTTTGTTTTTTTTACCAGAAATGTCCTTTGGCATGCGTTTATTTCATAGGGTTATTTATGAAACAAACAACCCCATCATGCAAACAAAAAATGTTTCACACACTAAAGCTTCAAAGATGAACATTTTCAAAGGTGCTGCGTGTAGCATCAAGAGAGAACTTGGCTTCAATGATCTGACATGTTTCTTTTATAGAGCCCATCCTCTGCTCTATTATAAAGAGGATATTGGGCTCAGGACTTTGTTTGAGCTTGTTGTTTGTCCCTAACTTTATCTTACATATTGGTTTCTGCTAACTTGGCCATAACCTAGAGCCCAAACCGGAACCATTAACCCAAAAAGATTTTCTGCTTCCTGTTGAACAAAAGCGATAAATGATAGATGTTATTATTTTTTCCTGTAGTTTATGCTTTTAATTGTCTTTCATAAAACATGTGGCATGAAAGGAGCTCAAGCCTTTAGAGTTTTCTGAAAAAGGTCAAGTAATGTAAGTGATCAAGAGATTACAGCCCTCTTCTGAACAAAGTCCTGGGACTGTAAATGACATGTAGCAAAATCTGATTTTTTTCCTTCAGCAATTAGTAGCCTACAGGCCAACTTATATCACAGAAAAAGAGGGTGATGACTGTGTGTACTTCACAGCTGATGCTATGGGACTTAAGCTCCCACATCTTGTCCATGCAGATTTGAAAATGCACATAAATAAGTTAGTTTTTTAAAAACTGCTGCTCAGAGCACCTTTAACATGCAAGCCTACAACCAAACCATCTTACCCTGGTTTAGCAGCAGAGCTGTGAAGACAGACACACAACGATTAAATACAATGTAACAAAATGATAAACACAACAGAAGAGTGACTTGAGATCATTTAAAATGCAAAAAGGAAAACTTGATACACTTTGTGAGCAGTTCAGGCATGCAAAGTGCGAACTGTTAGCCTTTATTTTCACTCTTCCCCAAAGAGATAAATTACTGTACTTTACAATCTAATTGGTTCGTTGGCCTCCACTAACAAGTGCAGATCCAATTCCTGCACCATTCTTTTAACACATTAAGCTTACAGGAAACAGGCAGCTAAAGGATACTAAAGTAATAATTGGCTCGTGTGCTGCATTGAAACAGAGACAGTGGTGAGCAGCAGCATGTAATCTTAGGTTACTGTCTGTGACGCAGGTCCCAGCATTCAGCCGCCTCTGTGCCTGTTGTTATTGTTTTGCTACATGATATGCCGCCGTTATTTTGGATGGTTGCTATTTCAATGTGAATGTAAACAGAGGCTTTTGTTTGATTACCATAACAGAGAAAACACAAGTTACTAAGAAGCTCAATATGACATTAAAAACGCTTCCACACTCACCAGAGAGTCCTCGCTTCAGCCATTTGGGATCCTCGAGCACGATGAAGAAGTTCTCCTGCTTCTCATACTCCTCCACATTTATTATGCGCACTTTTAAGACCTGACTGGAGATATTCATTCATGCACGCACACAGACACATACAGAGATGGCAGTTTTTTCTTTCATTAACTAATAATAAAGTTGTACTGAAAATGATAAATTAAAGGTGCATTAACATACATTTCCTCCCCATTTAAAACATTTACTCTGCTGTCTAAATCACATCGCAAATTCAAGTGAGCTAAATAATTAATAACAATGGACCTTTAAATAATTCAGACTTTAACAGAGACTGCTTTTGCTCTTATGTGTGCCAACCAAATACAGCCAAACATGCAGCAAGACAATGTCTTTTGTTAATCTGTGTTTGGTAGACTAGTCGGAAATGCTGACAAATTCTAAAAACTTGAAAGGAAAATATATAAACACAGAAGACAAAAAAAGCACAGACAATACCTTCAGTAAAGAAGGTGTGCCCAATTGTCACCTCCTCTATACTGCGATGCCCCATGTTACACAACTGTCTCACTAAGTGTACAATTAGCACATGTGCAAACACAGATTATATAACCTGCAAATTTAATGTGAAAAGGATCTGTTGGTTTACATGGGGTGACTGGAGGTTCCCACACCTGATCGGGGGGTGGGATAATCCTCAGATGTCACGTTGTCAGGTAACTCTGTCTATTAGGACCTCCTCCACCTGGAGAGTGGGACTGATAACCCATAGTTATGTTTCACTGAGGTTCACGTGTGCATTTTCTTAGAGCACTAATGGATAACAATAAAAACATTTAGGATGCTGTGTGTATCTTCATTATGTGGTTATTATGTCTGCTGTTTCAGATAACAGTTGACCAAAAAGGTAGTTTTTCTATCATTTGTTTTTCCAATTGTTGGCTAATGATCGACTCCCACCTACCCTTTGAATCAAATTTAATTTGGTTTTAGGTTTTGGTTGTCCTTCGTTAAAATGATTTATTAACAATGAACATTTTAAGACCAAACCCATTGACGATTTGTTGGTAGGATCTTTCCAAAAACATCCATCCATTATCTTTACCGCTTTCCCGTTCATGGTTGTGTGTGTGGGGGGGGAGCTGGAGCAGATCCCAGCTGTTATTGGGCGAGGGGCGGGGTTATACCCTGGACTGGTCGCCAGTCAATTACAGGGCTCACATATAGAGACAGACAAGCAGCCACACTCACATTACAGGCAATTATAGAGTCACAGATGAACCTAACAAGCATGTGTTTGGACTGTGGGAAGAAGCCGGAGTAGCCGGAGAGAACCCACACATGCACGGGAAGAACATGCAAACTCCACACAGAGAGACTCCTGTCAAACGGGGATTCAAACCAGGAACCTCCTCGCTGTGAAGCTATTCCATGTTATACTGATTGAGACGTTATTTTCTAATTGCTAAACAACTTTAGATGTTAATTATTGGTTTATAAACTTCTTTTTTTAATAGTGGTCAAAGGATCACAATTGATCCACCCCCTCTGGGCTCAGACCGCATGTGATTCACGGACTAATGGACGATTATCAGTATTATGTAACATTAATGTACTGGCTACTAGCTAAATCCCTGTGAAGAGTCAATTCAGTCTTTTTAAATATATTTTTATGCAAGTATTTCTCCAAATTTCACAAATAAAAAGGTTGAACAGTGTTGATATTTCATTGTTTATGCTTACTTTGTATCAAACCAAGCTTCGTCTTTACTTCTCTCCCTCTCACCGTGTCTGTTTTTATTTATTATGAAGTTTCAGCTGCTGGTTTCAGGTCACAACAATCAGTAGCTACTTAAATGTACTCCATGTTAAAGATACAGTCTGATGAGTCATAATGTCTTCTTCCTGGTGAAGTATAGATCGATGTTTTAGGAAACAAATCCATCAGACTTAAAGGCTCCTGACTTTTATTTCCCTCTTTCTGCCTTAACTTTGTGATGTTGTCTCACCTGGTCTGTTCATTAGTGAACTCCAGCTCTCCTCTGGTGTCCTCGTAGTCCACCCCCGCCTTGGCACTCCCATCCTCTGTATGATAGGGTACTGAGACGGTCCCCCTGGAGCCCGAGTTCCTCACCACTGTGACTGTCAGCGTGCCCGTGCTCTCACTGACCCGCAGCACTTGCTGGCCAAAGGTAAAGATGCCAGCGTGGTCATCATCCAGGATTGTGATTGTGGCAACAAGCGGCTCCACTAGTCTCCCCTTTTGTGGACTTCCTGCCCCTTCACTTCCACCTTCTTCTAACCTCAGGTTCTGAAGACGCACAAAGAAGTGCTCATCCTCCTCAAAGACGTCATCGTCCAGGATTCCCACCTGAAGAGCGAAGACATTTGTATGGTTACTCTCCTCGTACATTTCTGGGGAAATTTGTTTTAGCTACCATGAGCTGGAAAAAACTGAAGTCACATTGTCAAAACTCTTCACACAGTCATTGAAAAAGAAATCATTTGGATGAATCTCTTTTCTTGGATTTAAAAAAAAAGCATGGCGTCTTTCCTGCATGTACTTATTGCTACTTTAGTTTTAAGATCGCTCGCTTGTCTTGTTATAAGTCCAGTTGCTAATCAGACATAATGGGATGGAGGGAGTCAGGATCAGAAACATTTCTTAACTTTTTTATTAAAGCTTTACTTGAATTATATTTCAAATATTAACTAAATTCAAAATGATCCAAAAAGCTGTAGTATGTTAGTGCTCCATTTCTTCTTCATCCTTAAAACATAAACCTGAGTCATGTTAATCAAGTGAAAAGGTGTTGTTCCTACTCGAATATAAAATAATAATTTATATGAAAATCATTCCAACTTCAGAGGGAAACATTCATTCTTTATGTATTGCTCCCTGTTGTTAATGTTTTAAGGTCAATGTGTTCAAAGGGTCAGCTTGTCTCATTTACTTTACTTTACTTGTCTCAGTAAAGACTGTTGTCAGTGTTTCTGTCAAACGAGGTTTTGACTATAATGCAGAAAATAATCATCACCAGAATACAGGAACTTGGTATTTCTTGCATCTTTGACACATCATTTGTTTATATTAAAGGCATATTTGGCTTACTTGAACAGTTGACATGAACTGTAAACATCGTGTCACTGAGACTTTTTTTTGTCATTGTAACACCTTCTCTTCTCGTTGCTCACCTTAATCTCTTTGTGTGTCTCCCCTGGTTTAAACACCAGAGTTCCTTTAGTGAATTCATAGTCAGCTCCAGCGTTGGCAGAGCCGTTTTCTGTACAGTAGTCCACATAAAAGGTGTCCTGGCCTGTCCCCCCATCGAGGATCACCCCGAGGCTCATAGAGACGCAGTTCTCCGTGCACTGGTACTGAGCGCTCTCAAAACATATGTGTGAGCACGTGGCCTTGTCAGAATCCAGACCTCCAGAGCGACGCGTGTGCTCAGCAGCGTGTTTCTTTAAAATGTTTCCAGCGCCGATCATCATGCGTGTGGCCTGAACGCGGTAGAAAGCACGGCTCTTCTTTTTCTGAACCAGAGTCGAGTAGTTAGCCATCTCAATCAGCTGGTCCAGGTCTTTGTCTGGGTGCTTCTCCTTCAGGTCTTTTAGGATCTGGACCACCTATGCAAGAGAGGAAACAGGTTATAAAGTCATGCATCATATTTCAAATGAAAGCTTCCTTTGTTTAACAAAGCTGTACATCCTGGGTATTTATCTCAGCAGTTTTATTTCTAAGAGGAGTGACTGTGCACTTAGTGACAAGCTCCACAGCTATAATGACAGTTTTAGACTTTATATCAGTTCTACGTGTAATTGGATGAATTCACAATGAAAAAGAAAGAGTGGAAAAGATCATACTGGCGAGCTGAAAAGAGTATGAAGCAACTTCATAACGTGCATAAATATTAGATGTTGAGCAGCAGGTGTGTGATACAAATGTCATCACCCCCTGCGCTCACTCACAGTGAATTCTCTTGCATTTTACCTGCTGTGTTCACACACTGACTCACCCAGACTTGTTGTGGAAATTATACTAGCGGGCTGGCAGGAAAATAATCCCAATGTCGGAGTGAGAAATCTGGCCGTATTCTTTCACACATGCAGTTCATCCAGACAATTTCAGTAAAGTTTTACATGTTTAAAAAAAGTTTTGTTTTTTCTTGGAAGTTTTATGGATTTTAAATTAAAGGACCGATGCAGGGATCTTTCACAGGACACTGTGGAAACTCCTTAAGCTCCTGCAGTTAAAGCTCTCATGTGAACAGAATCCTACTGGGGATTAAATCTTCCTAACCTCAAGAAACTCTCCTTTTTAATTCAATTAAGTAGCTTCAAAATGAGACAAATTTAGATTCTGTGTTGGATTGAGAGTGTGGAAGATGTTCCCATACAAGTAGCTTCCTTCTGTCATCATGCCTTTTTAAAAATGGACAACTAAATGTCGACTCATGATGATGTGTCCTCATCAAAGTGCCTCCCTGATCCACCTGTCTCACCTCGTCGTTGGTTTTCTGGTCCAGTTCGTTGCCAGTCTGCACAGAGACTGTCACACTGGAGGAGTTTTCAGGGCAAGCACCCCCATCTGATAACTTTCCGTCCATGATTATGTCGATGCCTTTAGGGGCAAGGTCACCCTCCATTTCCACCACGATGCCGTGCCTCTTGTCGGCACGGTAACGCTTGTGCATGTACTTGTAGAAGAGAAGGCGACGGTCAGCGATCCAAGCCAAGACCACACACACCGGAAAATAAAGCAGCGTCACTATAGCCTCCCACACCTGGTAATACAGGGAATATATAAACACCACATGATAGGCAGACTTGATTTAGAACATGTATGTAGTCATGGGAAACACACCTCTACAATCCCAGGTGAGATGACTGCCAGAATGAGGTAGAGCCAAATGTAGGCAAAAATACTCCAGAAAGCGGTGATAAAAAACACTCGGAGGTGTTTGATTTTCCGCGACTCTTCGTTGGGGATTACAGACACACACAGCCCGATGATCACAAGCATGTTGAACGCAGCGCTGCCTACGATGGTGCTCGGGCCCAGCTCACCTGCTTCAAAGTTGTGCCCACACACCTGTCAGCATTTTAGAGACAGAAACAAATCCCATTGAACAAAATCAGTAAGTTTAGGAAATTGAATTTGAAAGTCATGTTACTAAGAAATAAAACAAATGTGTGGGCCTTGTTAACCAACTGTTCTTACACAGGAATGATGCTTAAATCACACCAGTCGAGTTTTCAACAAGTGTTATTGAAGATATGTAAATTACTGTTAGTGGTCTCTGACCCCCACACTGCTGACACCTTCTTCATGTTTGATCAAGTAAACAAATCAGTTTGTTTCTTCTGCTCAATAATACACCTTTTTTATGAATCGGGAGATATGTTTACTAGCTTCTCAGCTTTAAATTGATGCGACACAACAGTTTAAAATCGGCTACTGATGTTGGTTCATCTATATTATTTGCAAATGTTCATCAACAGAGCCGATAACAGCCCATACAGATGTTCAACTTATGCATCACCCTATTTAAAACCTTTTTTAAATAGGCTTGGAGAGCACATTCACATTTTTTTTAATTTTAAGCATATTTTTTTAAAGGGTTAATGAGAAATGCTTTTTGTACCTCAATAACAGAAAGCAGGATCTCGGGTGCAGAGGAGCCCAGGGCCATGAGTGTGAGGTTGGACACAGTCTCGTTCCACACTCTCACTGTCGTTACCGTCCTTTCTCCGTTAGAATTAGTGATGGTCACCTCTTTCTCCTGCAGGTACAAATGTTTGTGAACATGTCAAAGATGATGTCAACAATGAACTTACGGGATACAAAAGTTCAATTTCATGCAATGGATGTAAAAGTTTTTAAAACATATTTTAAATGAACGTTTTAAACTGTTTAAGTTAATACTGTTTGAAGTCTTTTTTAAGATGATGGAATATAATCTACTTTAATATGCTTTAATATATCTTTAGCCTGTGTTTAGACCTTTCATGGAATCATCTGTGGTAACACATGTCGGAGAACCACCACCAGGGAATAATAACTCAGATATGTTATTGTTGCCGTCTTCTCCTGGGACTGTGTCCATCTCACTTTACTGTTAATACAACCAGTTGAGCCCAGTTTGATGACCTGTTAGCTCAGCCAAGAACAAAAATTTGTCAGATGGATAACCAACTAATGTTTCAGACTAATATGAAAACAACCTTTAAAATGCTTCTTTCTGTCTTTCGTTTTAAGATTTTTTTCGTGGCTTATCATGTCATGGGTTCTGCATTAACTGCTATAACCTCTACAAATGGGACGTACGATTTAACCACTGAGCCAGGCTGGCGCCCCTCAATATTCTTGTCTCTTTTATGGAGTTAGAATGACTGTGTCAATGTGGCGGTATTTCATTTCTAACAAACATGAAGTTTATAATACCTGAGAGGTGATAACTTCGATGGAGGCCATGAAGCGGTCTGCGATGATGGAGATACCCAGGAAAATGTACATGAGACACATGAAGTAGACAACTGCTCTCCCCGCCTGTTCCCCCACTGGAGGGTTGAGAGGAAGCCACACCGGCAGCAGGATCCCCGGCTTACACACTACGATCCCTGCACACGCCTTCTTACCGGTAGAGTTAGCGGAGGACTGAGGCTGCTCAGGGCCAGACGCTCGCTCCACAAACTGCGGCCTGAAGGAGGTGCAAGGGTGGGTCAGGAAAAGAAGGGAGAGGAGGAGGAAGAGGAAGGGGGGAAGGTGAACGGGCCCCATGGTATCCCTGAGTGTGGAGGGGCCTGGGGTCTCTGAGGGAGGCGCTGGGTAAGAGGACTCTCCTAGAGGAACAGAGGAAGAGGTGTAAACATGTCTTTAGATGATTTCACTTTTATAAGACATAAGAGACTCTAAAAGAAATGGAAAAAGGCAGAAGGAATCAACACTTAATTTAGCTGTCTAATGATCTCTGATACTTGGTGCAAAATAAAAAAATAAAAGAAGTAAACCACTTTGAAGATCATTAATGATGAAGCTTTTTTCGTGTTGGATTACAGTCATAAAAGTTGAAGATGGCTGTCAGTTGGTCCATCACTTTTGCACACATTTAAAAACATCTCAATAACTACTGGATGATCACCTCTGTTTTCACATGAATAGTTTGCAGAAGATTCCTATGACTTCATTGCAGCCATGAGGTTCACATTCGAGGTTTGGAGATAAATGTCTCTACAACCGTTGGATGGATTGACATGAAATTTGGTTCAGAAATACATGACACCACCCCTTCCCACTTTAAGTTAAAATGAGTTCAATGATTAAAAGATTTTGCATAATGGAGTCACTGTTTTGCAAAAAAGAAAAAGGTATATGTTAATGATAACCAAATCAGTGTAGAAATATAAGAGGGAAAATAGAATATGAGTGGAAACATTTAGGTATTCATTTCCTCATAAATGAGGTATGAGGTAAGTGTGCCTTAACAGACAAGAACCATTTCAGTAAAGCTTTACATGGAAACAATGTGACATGTAACTGACTTAAAAGACACTTGTTTTTAACTTTCCAGCGTCTCAGTTTTTTCTGATTAGATACAACAAAAATATGGATGGATGTAGTGGATGTAAAAAGTAGACACATGGGAATGAAAAAAGAGAAAAGTTTCTTCACAAAGGACATTCTCTACATCTTGTAGATCTAAAACCTCTCTTCCTGCATGGTAGCCATTAGTAAAAAACTAATATAAAATGTGGATCAGCCATAAACTAGGGCTGGGCAATATGAACCAAAGATCATATCTATCTATAATTTCTTTAGCTGAATGGCAAAACACAAAATATTTCTCAATATTTGATTTGTGTAAAAGAATAACAAAAACTCAAATTGAAAGTCAAATCCACCTGGGCCAAATGACACATTTCACACAGGCACGTTTATTACTGGCCAGCTGCACAATGTCACACAATAAGCTACCCGCCTAGGAAAATAACAAATAATTATAACAAATAAAAATAGCAAATGTTCGATATACAAATTGTCTCACGCTTTATGTGGTTTGAAAATATATTCAGGGTTTTTCCTGCATAGAGAATTCTTTGGCGCCCCCAAAGAGGTTTTACCCAGCATCAAAAGAAAAAAAAGACGATTCAAATTGCAAATCAAATCCTCCCTAAATGTTAAAAATATCTATACATCAAACGACTGGTGAACAAGCAGAACATAAACTTAAATACGACGTCTCTGACTTCTAGAAGTCATCTCCCCTCTCATCTGCTTAAGCATACGGATAGCGCTGGTCAATAAGTTAACGACCGTAACGTCAGCCAGCTGTATGTGACCTTCTCCACACAGACTGTCAAACAGTGCTGCGTTATAGCGAGCAAATTTATTTTTATTATTTCTCAATTTCCTGATCTGATCAAATGATCCAAATGATCAGTGACTTAAATCTGTGATTATTTGACATAATACCTTAACTCAAATAAATGTACTTAAACAAATGTGTATGTAAAACGAAAACACAATTTAAAGGAAAAGAGCAGCCATCATAGGAAGAGGGTGAAATGCACTGAGGATGTGACCTCCCCTCTCCCAATCTCATTACACCCTCTCCCTCAAAATCCCTCTCCTCCCCTGTTTCACTGTTGCACTAAAAACATTTTTTACCAGATTTAATTGGGGTTTCAGTAACTTAAGCATATTGATAATATTATTTATAAAATGGTCAGAAATAACAGGAAATGCACAGATTTCTGTCAAATAAGGTAATACAGACTCAGACTATACTGTAATACACGGGTCAAACATTTACTACAGCACGTATAATCACCCCCCAAAGAAAACCCTGATATTGATATACCTTCAAAAATCTGTATCTCTCCTACCACAAACTTAGCACACACCAGTGCACACTGTTTCAGGATTGTCTTCTCTGTTACACAGCTAACGTGGCTTGTTGTTAAGCTAAAAGTAAAAGTAATCTGACCCCTCAGTGTTATCTTAAGCATATCCAAATGCCTTCAGAGAAACTAAAGCCAGCTTGATTAGCTATGCAGCTCCTTTAGTCATCATCGTCAACCCTGCTGGTTAGAATGATTAAGAGATAATTTACAGCTCAGATAACATTTTCTTTCCCTAAAGAGCTGTGACACAGTCTTTGTTTAAACACTATTTCAATGCAAATTGGAGGCAAACTGCGGTTTCCAGACAGTGAAAAGGCTTTTGACAACCTGTTACTTCAGACGGACATTTTCTTTATGTTTGCCCTTGTTGCTTTGATGCCAGAAGACACCAATATAATGACAACAATTTTTAATCCTTACAACTATTAAAATAGTTATTAATGACCAAATTTCTTAATTATCTAAAAACAACTAATTTTGACCTTTAACTGTCCAGTTTGAAACCCATCAACAGTGCACAGTGGTACACGTTTACAACAGGTTACAAGATGATAATAAGTGAAACACAAAGACTTATTCTATTCTAACTGACCCACCACACCATTACCTGGATAAGATGCACCTGTAAGCTTCTTCAAACTACCTTTAAACTCAAAGATACAGGAGAATGATCAAATCTGATGTGTTGTAAAATGGATAACATAGCACCGTTTGATCAGAATTAAGAGAAGGTTTATTCTGTTGTTGTTGTCCAAACTGATTCTCTTCAGAAAGGAAGTTAAACTTCTCTGAGGATGTTTGGGTGTGAGGCAGCAGGGAGGCAGAAAGCTTCCCCCCCCCCGCACAGGTGACACTGCACTATTGTGCATCGTGAGTTGAAACAGATACTGAGGTGCTGCATCTTTGATGTAGCCCGAGCTCTGCCAGCTCATTATGGAGTTGTTTCACTTTCACATCGCATTTCACTTTCCAAGGCCTGCTATGGTTACCACGACCTCAGACATAGGGCCACCTTACACCAGCAAGTGCTGGGGGGATGTCACCAAAAATAACTTCCTCAGCTCCATATTGGACAACAATAGTGAACAGGCAACAGAGTAATAGTATTATGCATCTTTCTGTCAAATCAATTGTTATATGCTGGCCTGGCCACATTTAAAGAATCATTCAGGTAATGCAACCTATTGGCTTGATACAAAAAAGTTTCTTAACATCCTCTTGTATCTATTCGTTAAGAGTCTTTAGTGTGTTGTGTTTGCTTACGTTGGTCTCTTGGTCCATTGCCACTGCTGGAAGAGCTGGATGCATTATTGATAAATGCATTCACCTAAATATAGCAGGATATCACTTCCTTTGATGTCACTTCCAAGCAGCTCTCTAAACATAATTTAGGAAAGGAGTCAGGTGGATTTCTCAGCCAGACATTAAAGGAGTTCCTCTTAGTGTTTCCAGTTAAGGGACTGAGAAAATTTGGAGAACAATCAACTGTTTACTGCAATTCCTGCCCGTCCTTGAATAATTCAAATATTCCTTCCACAGTAGAACTGATTCTAGTCAACTCTTTTTACATCCTGCTCCAGGAAAATGTTTACATGGGATTTTTGTGACAAAATGGGTGCTTTATTATAAGAAAGGCTTTAAAAGTCAGAGATGGTCATGATGCAGAAGAAAAAAGAATCCCAAACTGTCCTTTCACAGGTCTTTGTTTTGGCTGTATTCGAGAGTTGTGTGGGGGTGCTGATAGGTCTGTGGTCTCCTTATCCTCTCGGCACACAGAAACAGTGAGCAGGCTGACAGCTCCTCTCCTCTTACTCTCCTCTGACACAGCCACTATCTGTCAGCACCTCTGATAAGTGATTGCTTGGGGTTATCTTACACTGAGAGGAGTGCCAGCATAAAAGGGAGTTAGCACCTTTACCAGTTTAATATGTCCTACCTGTAGTGTGACAGTAAGGTACTGTCAGACTGAGAGTAACTCAGCTCATAATAGAGGTGGGAGACATGACTAGAAATATATATTCCTTTTTTTTTTCTTTTTGCAGAAATTGTATTAAATCACCAAATTAAAAGGGTTAAATGGATTGTTATGACTCAGGCAACATGATAAAAGGGGACTTTTATTGTGATTGGTTTGTAGGAAATAATGTGATCATCATTGAATTGACTGAGCTTTAGACGTGATACAGGCGAGTTAATAAACAGTTAAAACACACCTTTAAGAAGGTAGACCTGTTGCAGTGGAGATGGAGTATAACAAAGACACCCACTGTGACAGAAAGAGGAGGCCATGTTGTTTGGTCTGTGAACATGTAGGTCAGCCTGGCTCAGCTAAGCATCACAATAAAGCAATGCAGAAGATCAGGATTCAATCTGAGCTGTTGTCTGTCATAAATCACTTTGTTCTTACTTCTTCACCGCTGCGGCTTGTAGGTTGAGCTATCAGTGGCATCAGTGTTGCTTCATGTATGAACTACAATCAAGCGTGTATTTAAACCGTGGTGACAGTAATGCAAAAATCCATGTTGTGGCAGAGCACAACATCTGTGACGGTACTGAAACCGGTTTACCGCCCACCACTAGGCCTTAATAACTGGAAATAAATGTAATTTTATTTGAAGTAGTAACAAAACAAAACACTTTTCCAGTTTTTAATGCCAATAATAGTTACTTTACCCAACTCCTTGCCTTTTTTCCCTGATTGTTACTGTGCGAACTGTAATGAAGTATTTGAAAGCAACATGGCACCAGCAAGTATGCCTGTTTCATGTTAGACAAACGTTGGCAGGAAATAGCTGCTGATCTCCAGCTGTCAGAGAACACTTGTTGTGATTTAGCTTGCTAGTTAGCTTTTGTTTGTTTATGAGGCTAAGTGTGTGTGCTTATGAGAGAGTGAGAGGATTAATAACAGTGTTTGTATTCAAGCCTCAATTTTTTTGTGC